TATTAGTGATGCTGCCTTCATTTCTAATTTACATTAATTTTGATTTAGCGTATAATTCTCAACAAAAAATTCTCAGGAATTTTTTTTTTTCAAATTACTAAACAATAAAAGTTTTCTTGGGAGCCAAGAAATATTTTTCATTAAGGCAAACAAAAAACAGAGAAAAAAGTAAACTGATAAGTATTTTGAGAAAATTCTGCATACTACAATAGTGTATTCCAGAATACACCAATATCCAATACAGGACTGAGTAAATAAAGTATAGCTAAGGCTGACAAAATCTGATAAATGCATCCGAGAAACACTTAACCCTTAAACGGTCAAAACGTATATATACGTTTTCTTTGTCATTCATTCAACGTTGGCATGATAAGCCTGAGTTGCCTAGACATGAGAGAATGGGTGTGCGCACTCACTGTGTGCCATATGAAAAAAATTGGGGATGCCTGGGTACCATATGCTCTTTTTTCCTATTAATAAAAAATTATTTTTTTCTCTCAAAAAATTCGGGGCGCTATGCGAGAGAACGTATATATACGTTTAGACCATTTAAGGGTTAAAAAACACTTTAACAATTATACGTAATAATACAGACATACGAGGTAAAACTAATACCAACAAATACACAAGAAGACATACGTAACTAATGAGAAACTTTTAGTAGGACACACTTCATATTCAAAATTTCTCATAGGTTGTATACAAGTAAGTTTATTCAGGTATACACAAATACAGTTACATAGATTATCATACATAGCAACATATGTGTAGGAACCTGGAAAAACCCAAAAAAAGTCGACTTATTTCCATTGGGGTCCTTGTGATAATTATTATTTATATTTAAAAGTTAGAAACAGGTAAGTACAGTGGTACCCCAAGTTTGGAACTGCTCTCAACTCGAACAATTATGTAAGCATATTTGTGGCAGATGTTGCAAGTATATGGAATAGGTGGTAAGTTATTAAATGCTGTAAAGAGTTTTTATGAGGATAGTGAGGCTCAGGTTAGGGTGTGTAGAAGAGAGGGAGACTACTTCCCGGTAAAAGTAGGTCTTAGACAGGGATGTGTAATGTCACCATGGTTGTTTAATATATTTATAGATGGGGTTGTAAAGGAAGTAAATGCTAGGGTGTTTGGGAGAGGGGTGGGATTAAATTATGGGGAATCAAATTCAAAATGGGAATTGACACAGTTACTTTTTGCTGATGATACTGTGCTTATGGGAGATTCTAAAGAAAAATTGCAAAGGTTAGTGGATGAGTTTGGGAATGTGTGTAAAGGTAGAAAGTTGAAAGTGAACATAGAAAAGAGTAAGGTGATGAGGGTGTCAAATGATTTAGATAAAGAAAAATTGGATATCAAATTGGGGAGGAGGAGTATGGAAGAAGTGAATGTTTTCAGATACTTGGGAGTTGACGTGTCAGCGGATGGATTTATGAAGGATGAGGTTAATCATAGAATTGATGAGGGAAAAAAGGTGAGTGGTGCGTTGAGGTATATGTGGAGTCAAAAAACGTTATCTATGGAGGCAAAGAAGGGAATGTATGAAAGTATAGTAGTACCAACACTCTTATATGGGTGTGAAGCTTGGGTGGTAAATGCAGCAGCGAGGAGACGGTTGGAGGCAGTGGAGATGTCCTGTTTAAGGGCAATGTGTGGTGTAAATATTATGCAGAAAATTCGGAGTGTGGAAATTAGGAGAAGGTGTGGAGTTAATAAAAGTATTAGTCAGAGGGCAGAAGAGGGGTTGTTGAGGTGGTTTGGTCATTTAGAGAGAATGGATCAAAGTAGAATGACATGGAAAGCATATAAATCTATAGGGGAAGGAAGGCGGGGTAGGGGTCATCCTCGAAAGGGTTGGAGAGAGGGGGTAAAGGAGGTTTTGTGGGTAAGGGGCTTGGACTTCCAGCAAGCGTGCGTGAGCGTGTTAGATAGGAGTGAATGGAGACGAATGGTACTTGGGACCTGACGATCTGTTGGAGTGTGAGCAGGGTAATATTTAGTGAAGGGATTTAGGGAAACGGTTATTTTCATATAGTCGGACTTGAGTCCTGGAAATGGGAAGTACAATGCCTGCACTTTAAAGGAGGGGTTTGGGATATTGGCAGTTTGGAGGGATATGTTGTGTATCTTTATACGTATATGCTTCTAAACTGTTGTATTCTGAGCACCTCTGCAAAAACAGTGATAATGTGCGAGTGTGGTGAAAGTGTTGAATGATGATGAAAGTATTTTCTTTTTGGGGATTTTCTTTCTTTTATGGGTCACCCTGCCTCGGTGGGAGACGGCCGACTTGTTGAAAAAAAAAAAAAAAAAAAATTTGTGTAAGTGCGCTTCTAAGTGTATTTTTGGGGGTCTGAAATAGATTAATCTAATTTATATTATTCCTTATGGGAACAAATTCATTCAGTATTGGCACTCAAACAGCCTTCTGGAATGAAATAAGTTCAAAACTCAGGGTACCACTGTATACATGTGTCTTTCTATTAACCCTTAAACGGTCCAAACAGATCGACGTTCAAATTCGTAGCTACAAAAGTAGATCTACTTTATTTTACATATTTTCAAATATAACAAAAAAAAATGTAGATAAAAGTTTTTTTTACACGTTTTCACATGTAAACAAAAAAGATCTACATTTTTTTACATACTTTCAAATGTTGAAAAAACGTATACAGTGGACCCCCGCTTAACGATTACCTCCGAATGCGATCAATTATGTAAGTGTATTTATGTAAGTGCGTTTGTACGTGTATGTTTGGGGGTCTGAAATGGACTAACCTAATTCACAATATTCCTTATGGGAACAAATTCAGTCAGTACTGGCACCTGAACATACTTCTGGAGTGAAAAAATATCGTTAACCGGGGGTCCACTGTATATACGTTTGGACCGTTTACGGGCTAAACTGTCCAAACGTAGATCTACATTATTTCAACATTTGAAAGTATGTAAAAATACGTAGAGCTTCTTCTTCTGTTTTTACGTTTGAAAACGTGTAAAAAAAAACTTTGATCTATCTTTTTTTGTTATATTTGAAAATATGTAAAAAAACGTAATCTACTTTTGGAGCACTACGCGTGTAAACATAGATCTGTTTGTACAGGTTAAGGGTTAACTAAAATACATCAATAAACAATAGTCATAAGAGACAGAGTTAATAATTATATATAGTGGACCCCCGGTTAACGAACTTTTTTCACTCCAGAAGTATGTTCAGGTGCCAGTACTGACCGAATTTGTTCCCATAAGGAATATTGTGAAGTAGATTAGTCCATTTCAGACCCCCAAACATACACGTACAAACGCACTTACATAAATACACTTACATAATTGGTCGCATTCGGAGGTAATCGTTATGCGGGGGTCCACTGTACACTTATTTTGTGATTTATAAAATTATATACATACACGAGTATTGTCATTACGTGTTAACTCTAATTTGTTAAATTTAGCATAATTAGATGTATGTTTATGCATATGGACACTCGAGAAATTGATCCAAAAACTAGCAATCAGGAACAATAGGAAAGGCACTACTATGGATAAAGGAATATGGAGGAAAAGAGGGATTGTCCAAGGTGTTGGAATGAGTACATGTGATGAGTGGGGCTCCGTAAGGACCAGTACTAATACTATTTCTTGCACATACTTGAATGGCCACAGTGGTGGCCCATGCTAACCTTCCTATGGTGTACAAATATACCTAGTTGGATGAATCTTAATATAACCAGCTGACCCAGTGGTTTACACACTGGTCTACAGTTTTGGTTTGTTTTCAATTGTGTTATTTTGAGTATACTTGAATAACATACCAGAAGAATCAGAGGTATCCCTATTCAGAGATCACATAAAATAATGAGGAATACAAACAGGGGAAGACCAGGAAAGATGACAAATAGACCTCGACAGGCTGCAGGTCTGACAAGTGGCTATCAGAGTTTAACCCCAGAAAATACAAAATTATAAAGACTGGGGACAGGCAAAGACGACTGCAAGTGGATACAGGCTCTTGGGGTACCGGGCTGCAAACTTCACTCAAGGAGAAGGACCTTGGTGTGACTACTGATATACCTTTACCTTTGATGTACCTCTGATGAATTTTGAGAGCTTTTCCTACTCCTGGAGCCCAGCCATGGCCCAGGCTTAACTGGTGCTTGCCTGGTCATCCAGGCTGTTACTACTGGCAGCCTAAGCACATCACCTGAGGCTCACATTAACTGAATATCTGCTGCAGTATATATCAGGCCTATATTGGAGTAAGCAGAACCAGTATGGAACCAACACATGATCTATGATATTATAAGAAGACAGAAGGACTTGGGGAGATATGATAATGATGTACAAAATACTGAGAGTAATTAATGTGCTAGATTTTTTTGAGGTAAGAAATAGGAACACAAGGGTAGGGAGTTGAATCCACAGATGAGTCACAGGGATGTTAAGAAGTATTTCTTCAGCCTTAGAGTAGTGAGGAAGCGGAACAACCTAGACAGAAGAGTGGTACAGGCAAGATCCATACATAGCTTTAAGAGGAGGTATGATAAGGCTCTTGAAGCCAGGAGAGTGTGACCCCAGTAGCGGCCAGCAAATAAGCAGAGCCAGGAGCTGAAACTCAACCCCTGCAACCACGTATATGTGAGTACATGCACATGAACAAGCACGTGCATACACACAAATGCACACACTAGCATACAAACGAATACACACGAATGAATGAACGAATGAATAAAAACATACAAACACACATGTAAACACACACACATGCACACACACACACACACACACACACACACACACACACACACACACATACAGACACATACATGCACACACACATACATTCAGAAACACATATGCACACAGACATACATAAACACGCATGCACACACATACACATACATACAGAAACACACATGTGCACACACACACACACAAACAAAGCAGTATACAAGACATTGCAGAAACTATGTCTGGTAGAAAAGAAGAAACTAACTTACTGGTCGTATGACGCACACTCTCCCCCATGGTGCGCGGGCTTACTGGCGGATGTTCGCTGATGAAGGAATAGTAACCCGAGTCCTTCTTCTCCATACCCATGCGACCTCTTCCCCCGTGTCGCAGCTCCACACTGCCGGTGCCCATGTCCACACCCATGTCCAGCCCTGGGTCACTGTTGGCATCCTGTGTAAATAGTTCAATGCATTCAAATTCACATTTTTATTTCTTTGATGCAGTAATAATAATAATAATAATAATATAATAATAATAATAATCTTTATTTCTACAAATACATGATACAACTAATACAGACCATAGCTGACATCAATGACATACTGCTATATAGAAAGCCCCTTTTTATGCAGAGCATTTCCTGCAAATTGGGTGAATTCTGTCCCAGGATGCGACGCACACCAGTTGACTAACACCCAGGTACCTATTTTACTGCTAGATGAACAAGAACACCAGGTGTAAGGTGACTAACACCCAGGTACCTACTTACTGCTAGGTGAACAGGAACAGTAGGTGTAAAGTGACTAACACCCAGGTACCTATTTTACTGCTAGGTGAAAAGTATCATGTTAAACACAAAAGAGAGTCACTAGGATGCAGTGCATTTTGGGCAAACTAATCACTTATATTGGGATTTTTAAAGCACCTGTAGATGAAAAAAGCCATAATACTGCCCAAAATTTTATTGCATACTAGTGACTTTATTTTGTGGTTAACAATGATTTATTATATGCACAGTGAAAAAAGAAAAAAAAAAAAAAAGGGTCTCAGGCCCCACTTTACAGCACTTGTGTTTATAGTGTTTCACTAATACAGCAGTTTTCAATTATAGTCATTCTTCATTTATTCAGACTTCGTACAATAAACATATTCACCACTCACTATAAGCTGAGGACGAAAATATTTTAAGGTAAGTAATGTGTGCACTCCTAGGTAGTAGGTTGGTAGACAGCAACCACCCAGGGAGGTACTACCGTCCTGCCAAGTGAATGTAAAACAGAAACCTGTAATTGTTTTACATGATGGTAGGATTGCTGGTGTCCTTTTTTCTGTCTCATAAACATGCAAGATTTCAGGTACGTCTTGCTACTTCTACTTACACTTAGGTCACACTACACATACATTTTTTTTTTTTTTCAACAAGTCGGCCGTCTCCCACCGAGGCAGGGTGACCCAAAAAAGAAAGAAAATCCCCCCAAAAAATACTTTCATCATCATTCAATACTTTCACCACACTCACACATTATCACTGTTTTTGCAGAGGCGCTCAGAATACAACAGTTTAGAAGCATATACGTATAAAGATACACAATATATCCCTCCAAACTGCCAATATCCCGAACCCCTCCTTTAAAGTGCAGGCATTGTACTTCCCATTTCCAGGACTCAAGTCCTGACTATATGAAAATAACCGGTTTCCCTGAATCCCTTCACTAAATATTACCCTGCTCACACTCCAACAGATCGTCAGGTCCCAAGTACCATTCGTCTCCATTCACTCCTATCTAACACGCTCACGCACGCTTGCTGGAAGTCCAAGCCCCTCGCCCACAAAACCTCCTTTACCCCCTCTCTCCAACCCTTTCGAGGATGACACATACATACATATACAAACATATATATACACACCCCTCTGGGTTTTCTTCTATTTTCTTTCTAGTTCTTGTTCTTGTTTATTTCCTCTTACCTCCATGGGAAAGTGGAACAGAATTCTTCCTCCGTAAGCCATACGTGTTGTAAGAGGCGACTAAAATGCCGGGAGCAAGGGGCTAGTAACCTCTTCTCCTGTATGTATTACTAAATGTAAAACCCAATTAGTGTTTTTGTAATAACAATGCTTGATTCAGCTGATGTGAGCATCACCGCCACAAACCACATTAAGAGTGAGGCGAGAGCCAGTAATAATTAACCTAATAGTATGTAATTCTGTTCCACTTCCATGGGGAAGTGGAACGAAATTCTTCCTCCAGAAGCCACATGTGTCATAAGAGGCGACTAAAATGCCGGGAACAAGGGGCCAGTAACCCCTTCTCCTGTATATATTACTAAATTTAAAAAGAGAAACTTTCTCTTTTCTTTTTGGGCCACACTGCCTCAGTGGAATAAGGCCAGTTTGGCAAAAGAAGAGTAATTAAATATTTTTTTTAGCTCTTGACAAGATAAGATTTCATTCGGATTTTTAACCCTGGAGGGTTAGCCACCCAGGATAACCCAAGAAAGTCAGTGCGTCATCGAGGACTGTTAGCAGGTAAAATTTGTGAAGGGATTAAGGGAAACCGGTTATCTAGATTTGAGTCCTGGAAGTGGGAAGTACAATGCCTGCACTTTAAAGGAGGGGTTTGGGATATTGGCTGTTTGGAGGGATATCTCAACTGTCATATCTATGTGCCTCTGGTAAGAAAGTGATAGTGTGAATGATGGTGAAAGTATTTATTTTACAGGTTACCCTACCTCAGTGGGAGATGGCCAGCATGTTAAAAAAAATAATAATTTAAAAGCAAGGTACTGGTGAAACTCTCCAAAGTGGAGCAGTGGCTTGCTGCCTGTGAAAAGCTCTTGGGCAAAGGAAGTAAAGCTATTTTCCCCTTCCTCAAGTCAAAGCTGATCATCTCCACCTTCCCAGGTACTGTATAACCTTTACAAGTTTAGCATTTTCCCTTAATATTTCTCCCCATGAATATTCGTACCCATACTGGTACAGGTGAAATGAATTCTGTATGCACACGAGGATGTTAATCTTTAAGGGGTTCGACACATGAAATCACTGACATTATTTTGACATAGATTTCTGAATCCTAACATGACAATAAACAAGGAACATAACTTGGAAGAAAAGATGACCTTACGAACATATGTATTGTGAACTTTCGATAATACGAGCAATTTGCCTTGAAGTTGAAAATTTATTATAAACATTATAAATATTATTTCAGTTATAAACATGTTTTGCTTACTAGTGTACAGTATGTATTTTCCCTTTGTTCACATTTATGTTTAAACTCTGTACTTTTCTAGGTTGCTCGATGTTCATACATACATACATATACTGTACTACTGTATGTGTACGTATGTTCAACTTCCAAACAAGTGGACTTATGAACGACCACTTGGAACCAAATCTGTTCATAAGTAGGGGAGTATCTGTGCTTTTATGCTAAATATAAATGAAACATAGATGACTCTAACTGATCATTCTCTAACCTCAAATTGTGAGAAATAGGCCCCAGTGACCCCAGGAAGGCTTGCTGGTCGAGGAGTTTTGGGAGTGGTCACTTGTCGTTGCTGCTGCTGCTGTTCGCCAGGAAACACATCAGCAAACACAGCATCATAGGGTCCAAGAGCATCATCCTGGGTTGTGGTCGAGTGAGCATCATCGTGAAGAAAATCAGTGTCGGATATCTCCGAGCCGAAGCCGCTGGTTGAGACGCTGTCGCTCCGTGCTAGTTCCCACGGACACAGCCAAGTGGTGCCTTCCCGACCCACTCCTTGTTGATGTTGCTGGTGATGTGGCCCCAGATTGTGAGGCCACGCTCTTCCGACCTCATCATAGCTGGAACACTTTCTTGTGGTAAAGTCTGGGTTACGATGTTCCAGCAGTCGTCTGGTGTTCAGGTGAGTCTCACTGGAGGAATAACATCTAGGCAGGCGCTGAGGACTTGGAGGCAGTTCTGTTCTCTCCTCTATTATGATACCTGAATCACTTTGTTGTACACCCGGAGAACTGGGAGAGTTAGGAGAATTAGGAGTGGCTGCAGGTGGCCCAGCTACAGCTGCCTCCTGAGGACTCGCTGGTAACCAAATACCACTGGTAGGTTCAGTAGCAGTGCATGCTGCAGTAGCTGTGACTGGCTGAGGTTGCTTTTGATGGCTTGAAGCAACACTCAACTCTAACACTCGAGGACGTTCCTCTCTAGGCCCTGCTAATTGAATAGGCACAATCACCTCTCGGGGGCGTAGTACATGTTTGGGTTGCTGCTGGCACTTCTCAATTTTTATTCTAGATTCTTCATTCTCTTGGCATTTTTCATCATTAGGACTCCATACATTATCTCTCGAACCCTTTGTGTTACCTACCAACTTTCTTGACTCACTTGGTATTGTAATATATTCCTCTTTTTGTTGGCCATCTTCTATTTGAACTTCCAGCACTGACCTAACTTCAGGGAGTGCATGACATGGTGTGGCAATTACCTGAGTTTCTCGTACAATTATTGGCTCACTACGAACATAGCTGACAGGTGACGCTTCTCTTTTCACATCAATAACACACACCGACACCTGCCGACTTTCTCTATCACTGCCCCGCCGTGTGAACGACATTGTGGATGTAGATGGCCTCACTGTCTTCTCATTTCTCTCTTTTTCCTCTAATCGTCCTAATTCTTTTTCCTCTAATCTCCCTGATCCAGCCTCTGAATGTTTATCTTTTCCTTCAACTCTAGTTCTTCCTGTCTCAAGCAATCCACTTGTTCTTTCCTCTACTCTTATTCTGCCACTCTTAACAATACCACTCGCTCTTTCTTCAACCTTTTCTTTCCTCTCTTCAGCACTGCCAACATTAAAAGTGGCACTACTATAAAAGTTGCTGGTTGACCCACTTGTACTCTTAATGCTATCACTACACGTAAAGCTTTCTTTTAGGGACGTAATCTTAGCCTCAGTTTTGAAGTCACTGCTAGTTCGACTAGACATCTCTTTACTCTTGTAAAAGGAGCTGAAAGCAGGAGAGGAAGGAGAAGACGACTCGGAAGTTTTCCTGAACCTGAAAATCGGAGAACTTGAAGTTTCCCTTATGACTGCCGTTTTCGGAGACGACGGAGGTAGACTTGAGAGCGGCGTTACCGGGGATGAACACTTGAGCGTGAGAGGCATGCCATCATCACGAAGCTCATCCAATGCCGAGGCGAAACTGAGACGCGCAAGCGCAGTAGAAGGGGACATGTCTGGGGTGTGAGGTGTGGAGGACGGAGATGCTGGTACAGCATCTAGAGTTGACCGAAGGTTAAGACTGAGAGATTTAGGCACATTTGTTTGTAGGCCAGCACAGGCATGTCTCTCAAGGAAACTGGATGCGAAGGCAGTTGATGAGGTGGAGACTGAGGTGGACAAGCCAAGAGTGTGATGAGACTCTTGATTGCGAAACAGAATTGGGGCCGAGGAAGGATCACGCTGCCCTACATCCCGCTTCAGTTGCCGGTCTAACTCTGCTAACTGACCCACAAAATTAATATTAGGAGAGATCGTTGGTCTTCGTGTTTTTACATACCTGCAAAACACAAGAAAAATATTTTGATTTAAAGAACTGTATAATATACAGTGGATAACTGAATGCTCAATAAGAGGATCCCTGAAGGGGATCAAAATATGCAGATCAATTAATCTCCAGAGTGTCTGTCTCCATGTGTGTTATTACTGAGCATAATATACAGTGGACCCCCGACTAACGATATTATTTCAATCCAGAAGTCTGTTCGGGTGCTGTTAAAGACAGAATTTGTTCCCTTAAGGAATATTGTGAATTAGATTAGTCCATTTCAGACCCCCAAAAATACACCTACAAAAGCACTTACAAAAATACACTTACGTAATTGGTCGAGTTGGGAGCTCATCGTTAGTCGGGGGTCCACTGTATAGTACATATATTACCCTTCATCTCAGATAAATTTGTCTCAGAGATATAATATCATGGAACATTTTTATTTCAAATATTGATACATATTTTAATAAGCAATAAAACCATATTGTATTGCTGAAGATACATACATATAAGCCTCATCAAAAGGAAGAGAGAGATGCTTCATAACGTAAGCAATTGCAACAGTTGCAGACCGGGAGATGCCCGCCAGACAGTGCACCAGCACACAGCCGCCTGACTCACGAACCTTATCTGTTGCAGAGAACACACATTAACACCACAACTATAAATCAACCCAAAAATGATCTGCATAACAATGGACCCTCAATTTTTTTTTTTCAATAAACTGGCCATATCCCAACAAGAAAGGGTGACCTAAAAGGAAAAATTAAAGATTTTCTTTTTAAATTTAGTAATTTATACAGGAGAAGGGGTTACTAGCCCCTTGCTCTCGGCATTGTAGTCGTCTCTTACAACAGGCTTGGCTTACGGAGGAAGAATTCTGCTCCACTTTCCCATGTTAATAAAATGTTGTAACATGTACTTCTGGAAAGTGAGCAGTGATAATAACTACACAGAAGTATACAAATAACCCACACATAGGAAAAAGAAATTTATGGCGACATTTCGGTCTGACTTGGCCCATTAACTAGCCACACAGTGACTAGTTAATTGTGTGACTAGTTAATGGCCTAAGTTGGACCCAAGCATAGTCATATTTTTTCTCCTATATGTGGATTATAAATGTATTGTTCCAGTCCTGGTATTGTACCTTGTTGTTCTTCACATAAAAGGAATAATTATTATCGTAATACCATATTAATATTAATAGCAGTATTAATAATAGTACCAATAATATTATAATATTTTTTGTACCTCTGTATGTATGCTTAAATTACTAAATAAATAAATAAATAAATAAATAGTAGACTGAAATCCTATAATTACTACATGTATAAAGAAAAAAATTATATTTTTCATTTTAGGTCACTTTGTCTCGGTGAGAGATGGCTGAAGTATCAAAAATGAGTCCTCTAACATCTAGGCCAATATACATTTGAGAGTATCTAGCTGGAGATGACCAGAAATATAATAGAATGATAGAAATAGCCATCAATATAATAAACAAAAATAAAGTACAGTATTACAGAGGCACATAATGGATCCAGTGATTGGGCTGCAAGAGTCTGATAGCTAAACAAGTTACAGTGGTAACGAACAGTTTACACGTTTATATCTGGTTACAATCGTAATGAGTTATTTGTGCAGACACGAATTAGGTCTCACACACACAAAAAAAAGTTTGAGTGGCTATGTGATATTTACATTGTGGAAAATCAGGGTATTTCTCCAGACTGGTTGGTCACCACACCGAGCAAAACACTGTAACAACAAATGCTTGTTCTACATCAATGTCTCTTCTTTAGCAGTGCCAGCAGTGTGACACTGTATCCAGGGGTGAACACAGCCAAGTGCACAACCACACTCACTAAATTTATGAACATGAGTGCACGACAACTATTTAAGCATAGATGCAGGTTTTAAGATGTTCTGAATGAGCCAGTGAGCAGGTCATAATAATAATAATAATAATAATAATAATAATAATAATAATAATAATAATAAAAATAATAATAATAATAATCTTTATTTCTACAAGTACATGATATAACTTATAAAGACAATTACTGACCTCAGTGACATACTATATATAAAGTCCCTGGTTGTGCAGAGAATTTTCTGCAACTTGGGTTAATTTTGTTCCCAAGGATGCAACCCACACCCCTTCTGTATAAATGTCAGGAGCAAGGGGCTAATAACCCCTTCTGTATAAATGTCAGGAGCAAGGGGCTAATAACCCCTTCTGTATAAATGTCAGATCAAGGGGCTAATAACCCCTTCTGTATAAATGCCAGGAGCAAGGGGCTAAATAACCCCTTCTGTATAAATGTCAGGAGCAAGGGGCTAATAACCCCTTCTGCATAAATGTCAGGAGCAAGGGGCTAATAACCCCTTCTGTATAAATGCCAGGAGCAAGGGGCTAATAACCCCTTCTGTATAAATGTCAGGAGCAAGGGGCTAATAACCCCTTCTGTATAAATGTCAGGAGCAAGGGGCTAATAACCCCTTCTGTATAAATGCCAGGAGAAAGGGGCTAATAACCCCTTCTGTATAAATGTCAGGATCAAGGGGCTAATAACCCCTTCTGTATAAATGCCAGGAGCAAGGGGCTAATAACCCCTTCTGTATAAATGTCAGGAGCAAGGGGCTAATAACCCCTTCTGCATAAATGTCAGGAGCAAGGGCTAATAACCCTTCTGTATAAATGCCAGGAGCAAGGGGCTAATAACCCCTTCTGTATAAATGTCAGGAGCAAGGGCTAATAACCCCTTCTGTATAAATGTCAGGAGCAAGGGGCTAATAACCCCTTCTGTATAAATGCCAGGAGCAAGGGGCTAATAACCCCTTCTGTATAAATGTCAGGAGCAAGGGGCTAATAACCCCTTCTGCATAAATGCCAGGAGCAAGGGGCTAATAACCCCTTCTGCATAAATGTCAGGAGCAAGGGGCTAATAACCCCTTCTGTATAAATGCTAGGAGCAAGGGGCTAATAACCCTTCTGTATAAATGTCAGAGCAAGGGGCTAATAAACCCCTTCTGCATAAATGCCAGGAGCAAGGGGCTAATAACCCCTTCTGCATAAATGTCAGGAGCGAGGGGCTAATAACCCTTCTGTATAAATGCCAGGAGCAAGGGCTAATAACCCCTTCTGTATAAATGTCAGGACAAGGGGCTAATAACCCCTTCTGCATAATGCCAGGAGCAAGGGGCTAATAACCCCTTCTGCATAAATGTCAGGAGCAAGGGCTAATAACCCCTTCTGCATAAATGTCCAGGAGCAAGGGGCTAATAACCCCTTCTGCATAAATGCCAGGAGCAAGGGGCTAATAACCCTTCTGCATAAATGTCAGGAGCAAGGGGCTAATTAACCCCTTCTGCATAAATGTCAGGAGCAAGGGGCTAATAACCCTTCTGCATAAATGCTAGGAGCAAGGGGCTAATAACCCCTTCTGCATAAATGTCAGGAGCAAGGGGCTAATAACCCCTTCTGCATAAATGTCAGGAGCAAGGGGCTAATAACCCCTTCTGCATAAATTCCAGGAGCAAGGGGCTAATAACCCCTTCTGCATAAATGTCAGGAGCAAGGGGCTAATAACCCTTCTGCATAAATGTCAGGAGCAAGGGGCTAATAACCCCTTCTGCATAAATGCCAGGAGCAAGGGGCTAATAACCCCTTCTGCATAAATGTCAGGAGCAAGGGGCTAATAACCCCTTCTGCATAAATGCCAGGAGCAAGGGGCTAATAACCCCTTCTGCATAAATGTCAGGAGCAAGGAGCTAATAACCCCTTCTGCATAAATGCCAGGAGCAAGGGGCTAATAACCCCTTCTGCATAAATGCCAGGAGCAAGGGGCTAATAACCCCTTCTGCATAAATGCCAGGAGCAAGGGGCTAATAACCCCTTCTGCATAAATGTCAGGAGCAAGGAGCTAATAACCCCTTCTGCATAAATGCCAGTAAATGCCAGGAGCAAGGGGCTAATAACCCCTTCTGTATAAATGTCAGGAGGAAGGGGCTAATAACCCCTTCTGTATAAATGTCAGGATCAAGGGGCTAATAACCCCTTCTGTATAAATGTCAGGGCAAGGGGCTAATAACCCTTCTGTATAAATGTCAGGAGCAAGGGGCTAATAACCCCTTCTGTATAAATGTCAGGAGCAAGGGGCTAATAACCTCTTCTGTATAAATGTCAGGAGCAAGGGGCTAATAACCCCTTCTGTATAAATGTCAGGAGCAAGGGGCTAATAACCCCTTCTGTATAAATGTCAGGAGCAAGGGGCTAATAACCCCTCTCTCCTGTATACATTACTAAATGTAAAAAGATAAACTTTTCTTTTTTGATCACCCTGCCTTGGTGGGAGACAACTGATTTATTAAAAAAAGAAGTTATATACAACAGCGCCAATAACCCTCACATAGGAGAAAGAAATTTATGACAACATTTTGGTCTGACTTGGACTAGTTAATGATCCAAGTGGGACCAAAACGTTGCGGTAACTTTGTTTTTCCCACGTGCGGGTTATCTGTGTACCGTTCCAGTCACGGCATTTTGACTTTTTATTCTTTATATACAGCTGTGCATACTAAAACCTACAAACCAAAACAATAAAACAAAAGATCATTCAAACCAACAATCACACAACAAAAATATATTATATTAAAACAAGTGACAAAAATACAACAGAGTTCAATAAAATTCATCTCTACAACTGTGAATTTTTCACCGATTGTCACAGTAAGTTCAAATAACCAACATCAATTACATATATTATAAGTGCAGTAAACCCATAAGGATAATATAGTGCCTGGGGAATAGGAGATCTGATCCATAAAAGAGGAGGGTAGCTTCAATCCCTTGGATCACTAGGACATGCCTAATGGTTGTAGTCATAACCATGATTTTTTAAAGAGGTGGAGGGGTAAGACAGGGAAAGGCTTCGGTCAGATGACCAAAAGCTCCAGCAGCAGGTCATCATGTGATTAAGACCCACGTCAAGAAACATTTGTCCTGTTTCCTGACAAAAATTATACCTACCTACCAATCCCTTAGATCAAGATCCCTTCACCAGCAACAAGCCGCCCTGCTTGAAAAGGCAACAATTACAAAACCAATTAATACTCACCAATAAAATTAAAGGCATCGTTAAAGTAAGGGAGGAGTTTCTCACTGAAGTTGTCGTTGACGGGAATTCTCATGAAGTGAGAATCTTGAACGAAGTCGGGCTTTGGACACGACACACTCACGTTCAGCTCATACAGGATGTTGTAGTCCTGAAAATTACATAAGATGAAATACAGAACATGTACATGTGGGAACCCACAGCCTCAGTGAAGTAAATAAACCACCAAATGAATGGGATTAAACCCATGGCAAGTGAGTCTTGAGACTCATGGGTCAGTGTATTAACCACTTGACCAACACTGGTCTGCGAGTTTCAGGACTCACAAGCCATGAGTTCAAACTCCACCCATTCCGTAATTTACATGCAATCGTGCTGTTACAATTTTGTGATTCAGAGAAGTAGATAAGAAGAATTCAGGGAATTCTATTCATATGTAACCAAGAGTTGATAACTGTACTTATGTATACCTGCGTCTAAATAAACTTACTATATACAGCCACTCCTCACTTAATGACATACTCCTTTACCAACGACTTGGACTTACGCCAGACTCTCTGACCAGTATGCATACCTAAATAATGTATATTAGAGCTGATTTCCTCTATTCTGTTTATTACAATATAGAGTACACTACTGTATAAACATTTAAAAATATACCATATATGTTATAAATGGTACAAAGGTGACATTAAAACAATATCAAAGATGGCTGACACAAACCCACTACCATTATAGTATGCTCCTCACTTAACGATGAGTTCGTTTACCGACGTGGTTTTAGGAATGGAACTCCATTGTTAAGTGAGGAGAGACCGTACAGGGTTTGCTACTATCCACGGTTTCAAGCATCCACGGTAGATCTTGGAATGGATATCCTCGTAGTTCACACACTGAGGTTCGAGGGTCAATCCCCAGTTCGGGTGGAAACATTAGGACATGTTTCCTTAGGAAAGTTGCTGTCCATGTTCACCTAGCAGTAAAATAAGTACGTACCTGGATGTTAGTGGACTGGTGTGGGTCGCATCCTGGGACAAAAGTAACCTAATTTGGCTGAAATATTTTGCATAACAAAGGACTTTCCATATACACCTACCATCCGACTTACAACCTGCTCGACATATGACCACTCGACTTACGACCATGTTTTGAATGCCAAATTTCTGGGAAATAAACAACTGTTTGTGTTGTACACAGTGTTTATCCTAAACCTTACAGTATAAAATACTTTACTTTTTAACAGCATAAAAAGTAAAGTAAAGAATGAAATACCAAAATAAAACAATAAAATAAAATAATTACAAAAATGTGATGTTGGTATTCAGTAGTAAAGTTCGACTTACGTCCATTTCGACTTACGACCGGTTGGTTGTGAGTCGAAATGGACGTGAGTCGTAAGTTGGATGGCACCTGTAGTATTATGTCACTCATGTTAGCTATGGTCTGTATAAGTTGCATTATGTACTTGTAGAAAAAGAATATTATTATTATTATTATTATGAGGAGACTGCTGTACACATCTTTGGAGAAAATAAATATCTTTCTTCTTTCAACACACCGGCCGTATCCCACCAAGGCGGGGTGGCCCCAAAGGAAAAACTAAAGTTTCTCCTTTTACATTTAGTAATATATACAGGAGAAGAGGTTACTAGCCCCTTGCTCCCGGCATTTTAGTCGCCTCTTACAACACGCATGGCTTACGGAGGAAGAATTCTGTTCCACTTCCCCATGGAGATAAGAGGAAATAAACAAGAATAAGAACTAGAAAGAATATAAAATAAAACCCAGAGGGGTGTGTATATATGTGCTTGTACATGTATGCGTAGTGTGACCTAAGTGTAAGTAGAAGTAGCAAGACATACCTGAAATCTAGCATGTTCATGAGACAGAAAAAAAGGACACCAGCAATCCTACCTTCATGTAAAACAATTACAGGCTTTTGTTTTACACTCACTTGGCAGGACGGTAGTACCTCCCTGGGTGGTTGCTGTCTACCAACCTACTACCACAGGATGGTAGTACCTCCCTGGGTGGTTGCTGTCTACCAACCTACTACCACAGGATGGTAGTACCTCCCTGGGTGGTTGTTGTCTACCAACCTACTACCACAGGACGGTAGTACCTCCCTGGGTGGTTGTTGTCTACCAACCTACTACCACAGGACGGTAGTACCTCCCTGGGTGGTTGTTGTCTACCAACCTACTACCACAGGATGGTAGTACCTCCCTGGGTGGTTGCTGTCTACCAACCTACTACCACAGGATGGTAGTACCTCCCTGGGTGGTTGCTGTCTACCAACCTACTACCACAGGATGGTAGTACCTCCCTGGGTGGTTGTTGTCTACCAACCTACTACCACAGGATGGTAGTACCTCCCTGGGTGGTTGTTGTCTACCAACCTACTACCACAGGATGGTAGTACCTCCCTGGGTGGTTGCTGTCTACCAACCTACTACCTAGGGAAAATGTGTGTGTGTATATATGTAGATACTATACATGGAAATGCTCAGGTGTTCCTAATGCTAGATTATTCACTAGTATTTTTTTCATATTTATAATGCAAAATTGGATATGATGCAAGTGGTTTAAAAAACTGAAATTTGAAGAATGAGACGTTTGTGCAACATTTGGAAATGTTTTGCCAGCCAGTGACTTCTTCAGTCTATTACAGAGAAGAATGGTGGAAGATGAGAAGTTTGAAGAAATCAGTCCCTCAGCCTGGAGTTGATGTGTTCAGTCCATCAATCTTGACAAAATAAGACACAATGGAAGTACAAATGCTCCTCAACTTAAAATGGAGTTAAGTTCTGAGGAACCCGTCTTAAGTTGAAAATATCGTAAGTTGAACATGAATGTGATATGATAAATAAATAAATAACTACTGTCGCTGAATCAGTAAATAAACAAATAATTACTGTAATTAAATATCAGTATTGAAAAGTAAATAAATAAATACAGGTTTATCCAATCAATAAATGTACTGTACTGCATACGCTTCGCTACCACGCCATCGTAAAGTTGAAATATCGTAAGTCAAGCCAAGACAGTAAGCAGCACTGGTAATTGAAAAGGAAAGCTAGTCTCCAGCCCACAGACAAAACTTATTAAATACACACCAGCCCAATGGAAGCAAGTCATTTTGACTTATTTTTTGGTTATCCTAGGAAATTTACACATACAGTGGTATCTCAGGATATGAGCTTATTTCGTTCCAGAAGGCCGTTCGAGTGCTGATACCGAACGAATTTGTTCTCATAAGGAATAATGTAAATTAGATTAATCCATTTCAGACCCCCAAAAATACACTTACAAAAGCACTTACAAAAATACACTTACATAACTGTTCGCATTGTGAGTTGTTCATATCCCAAGGTACCACTGTATGTTAGTATGTATATACAATAACTTGTGAAACTGTATTTATGTGTATGTGTACCTAAATAAACTTACTAACATCCCCTTCCCACTGCGCCTGGCCAAGCTTAGGTGTTTGCCTGAGAAACGAGTGCAGTAGGGGGCCCTTGATCCAAATTTAGCACGCCGAATCAACAGCCAATATTAAAACAGGATGCTGTTCCACCCACCAGTCACACAGCCCAGCCAAACTCAACCATAAATATAAGTAATAGTCTGAGTAAAGGGAATTGCCAGAAAGCAGAGAGAGAGTGATTGAGGAAGAGAAATCACCAGCTTATGTTACTTGTCCATAGAGGTGCAAAAGGCTTAGCCAAAGTGTAAAAGGAATTGCCAGGAGAGAGAGAGAGAGAGAATAAACATGGAAAACAAATCACCACTTTATGTTACTTGTCCATAGAGATGCAAAAGACTTGGCCAAAGTATGAGCATTTGTGGTGGCGGCTGTGGCGGCAGTTGCTGCCACAGCTGCCATCGCAGCAGCCGCCACCTCCTCCTCCTCAGTGCCTCTGCTTGATCTAATATTAGCTATAGCAATCAGCTTTACCCCCTAGTGTATATTTTCTTCCAATCACATAAAGTGTTAGTGTATATTTTTTTGCAATTACATAAAGCCTTAGTGTATATTCTCTTGCAATCACATGAAGACACACACTTCATGATTAATTAACACCTTGATATCTTCCCTCTTCAAAACTTTATATACACAAGGATCATTGCCCTCGTATCCTAGTTTCTTACTAGGCCCTTTTAATGGAATGATATATTTAATGACTTGTTTAATCTAGAATAACCCAACAGAGTTAAATACTGAGGTACTGTCTTATTTCTACTGGGATCCTTCCCTAGGATGTGACCTACACTAGTCTACTAACACCCACACATTTTCTTTCTTCCGTAAGTCATGCGTGATGTAAGAGGCGACTAAAATGTTGGGATCAAGGCGCTAGTAACCCCTTCAGCCTGAGGGGTGAGGGACTTTTTACCTCAACCTCCTCTTCCACGTTCTTCTCTGTATTGGACTGAAGAAGCCATAAGTGTCTCATGCGGTGGGGACAATAAGGGAACATTGTATCAACATCTGGGGTCCAGACTTTTCAACACCTTACCAGAAGATATCAGAAACACAACTGGAACAAGTGTTGAAGCCTTCAAGAGGAAACTGGATAAGTATATTCACCAGGTTCCAGATCAACCAGGCTGTGATGGGTATGTGGGGCAGCGGGCCTCCAGCATCAACAACCTGGTTGACCAGGCAAGCACCAGACGAGCCTGGCCCATGGCCGGGCTCAGAGAGTAGATAAACTCTCAAAACTCTTCAAAGGTATACGGTATTCTTCAACTTGTCAGTTTTCTAAACTATTTACACCGCATGACTCTAATTTCTATAGGCCAGCAATATGTCTACCACATACGGTGAGGGACTACATTACCACAGACTCATCTCAGTGGTTTAACTAACCACAGTTATCCTCAATACAGCCTCTCCTCACTTAAAGACAGAGTTCCGTTCCTTAGACCACGTCAGTAAACAAATTCGTCACTAAGTGAGGAGCATACTATAATGGTAGTGGGTTTGTGTCAACCATCTTTGATATTGAACATTGAAATGGTATAAAATGCCGACAGGTTGTTAGGTAAGACACATATGCAACAGTTAGGTATCTTTATTTCGAAACGTTTCACCTATGGAACAATGCTCTTCTCCAGACTGAGGGACTGACCACCTCAAAACTTTAAGGGTGATGGACTAATTACATCGTCTTCAAGTCTCTTCTGCTTCTATCAACTTTTCTGTACTCGACTGAAGAAGCCTACTGTGTAGGCGAAACGTTTCGAAATAAAGATACCTAACTGTTGCATATGTGTCTTACCTAACATCTTTGATATTGTTTTAATGTCACCTTTGAACCATTTATAACATTTTTAGTGTATTTTTAATGTTTATACAGTAGTGTACTGTATATTGCAATCAACAGAATAAAGGAAATCAGCTCTAATATACATTATTCAGGTATTCATACTGGTCAGAAAGTCTGTCGTAAGTCTGAGTCGTTGGTAAACGAGTACGTCGCTGAGTGAGGAGACGCTGTATTTAATTTACAAGGTTTAAAGCCTACTGACTAAATAAGGGTCATTAAGGTAGACCTGCACATAATGCCAGAAAAGATCAAATCTCAAAAATAGGCTTAAATGTGGATTTAGGAATTAAAATGAACTGTCACGTGTAAAATTCATTGACTAAGCCCTATACCTTTTAGACATGGATGAGTATTGTAATGATCTAAGTCAAGTGTTTAGACTTAGCAAGTTAAGTTGTAAAGCATCTTAAGTTTGACAGGTTATAAAATTAGCTGGATAAAAGCAAGAAGGGTAGGCACTGTACATTAATTCAATTCAGTGGAAGTCAACGATTGTTCGGGGTATTGGGCACAAAATATTCCCAATGAAAATTAGGGGACAATACTACAGTGAAAATCAGGAGGACAATACCACCATGAAAATCAGGAGGATGATACCACCATGAAAATCAGGAGGATGATACCACAATGAATATCAGGGCAATACCACAATAAAAATCAGGACAATGCCACAACAATAATCAGGAGGACAATACCACAAAAATCAGGACAATACAACAAAAATCAGGAGGACAATACCACAATAAAAATCAAATATACAATACCCCAATGTAAATCTTAGATACAATACCGCTAATGACAATGAAGGGCACAATAAGATGCTTTGAAGTCCTTCCTTCTAAATATATTTGGAATTACCAAACAACTTGTAACTACCTTCAAGCAGGACCCTGAAAAGTTTCTCAAAGAAATTTCTAACCAGCCAAACTTTGAAATCTTACTCTTATGCGACAAACACCAATAGCTTGATAGATCAGACCATTGAGAGGAAGCTCTGGTCTGGGACCAGGCCACAAGGGTGATGATCCCCTGAACTATTTAAAAAATGACAGGTGAAAGCAAACAAAATAAGTAAGAAAATTGAAAGATATAAACAGCTCCGGGCCCCACGAGACCACTCAGCACTCTTGGCTTTAAGTAATAATAATCTTTATTTCCTACAGGTACATGATACAAATTATACACACCACAGCTGACATCAGTGACATACTATATAGAAAGTCCCTGATTATGAAGAGCATTTCTGGCAACTTAGGTTAATTCTGTCCCAAGGATGCAACCCCACACCAGTCTGTTAACCCAGGTATACCTACTTACTGATAGATGAACAGGGACAGGTGTAAGGTGACTAACATCCAGGTAACTGCTTACTGCTAGGTGAACAGGGACAGCAAGTGTCTTAAGGAAACAGGCCTAACGCTTCCACCCATACTGGGGATTGAACTACGGACCTCAGTGTGTGAGCTGAGTGCGCTACCAACCCAGCTATGAGACAAAGACAAGCCTACATAAGAACACCCAGTAAAGTGTAACCAAAATAAAACTCACTGCAATGAACAAATGCACAAATACACTACAATAAGAGGCTAAAATAACCTAATCAGTTAAAAAATAAACAAAGGTATGACTGGGCTGGTCTGGCCAGGCATTGATGCAATCTTCAGACGACTCTGACTCCACCTAAACTTATGTGGAGTCCCCAGACTGCTGCCAAAATTTCCTCCATCAATGACTGGTGGTCCCTAGACTGTTGCTAAGGACTTTCTCCATCAATGATTGGTGGAGTCCCAGACTCTTGCTAAAGCCTCTCTCCACCAATAACTGCTTGAGGTCAGTCATGGATATCAAGGAGAAAGATGAAAAAAAAAAATTAGCACCTCCCAGTTCAAGAAGTCTGACATATAGAGGGACAGATACACGAGGACATATACACAAGTGCATGTGATCAGCACCACAGGTGTGCTGGCTGACTCACCCCAGCCACAGGTGCACACACTGCCTCCCCTCCTCAAACTTATTATAAATTATGCTATTTCTGCATTTGTGCGCAGGTTTTAAGATTCTTCCAAATTTAATACTTTAAAGAGACACTGTGAAGGAGGTGCTAAGAATTTACACAGTGCCGGGTTTAAAAAGGTACTCAGTACTCATTACAGTATGAAGATTAACACTTGCTAAATACAGTGGACCCCCGCATAACGATCACCTCCCAATGCGACCAATTATGTAAGTGTATTTATGTAAGTGCGTTTGTACGTGTATGTTTGGGGGTCTGAAATGGACTAATCTACTTCACAATATTCCTTATGGGAACAAATTCGGTCAGTACTGGCACCTGAACATACTTCTGGAATGAAAAAATATCGTTAACCGGGGGTCCACTGTACTCAGCACTTACAAGATAACATTTACTCACCTTGGCCACAAGTAAAAATCTACACAATCACACACAAGGGGCTAGAAACCCCCTTCGGTATGAATTACTAAATTTAAGCCTAGCTCTGCACCTATTTCTCCAAAGACCCCAATGGAAACAAGTCACTTCGTCTGACTTTCTTGGGTTACCCTGGGTAATCTACATAGGTGTGCTGCAATGTATAATAATTTATGTAACTGTATTTAAGTATACCTGTACCTGAATATACTTACTTAAGTCATGCATGTCGTAAGAGGTGACTAAAATGCTGGGAGCAAGGGGCTAGTGATCCCTTCTGCATAAATTACTAAATGTAAAGAGAAAATCTTTCGACTTTCTTTTTTGGGTCACTCTGTCTCAGTGGGTTACAGCTAGTTTGTTGAAAGAAAGAATAAGTTTAATTCAGCATGATACAATATTTGCACAGAGACAGAGGACATTTAGTTGTGCATGCGTAAAGTCCATGCACAACTAAAGCATTTCGGGAAAACTTAGGTCTAACTTAAGGCCACATGATCAGTCCCTAATCCACTGTGAGGCCTGGTCACAGACCGGGCCATGGGGACGTTGACCCCTGAAACCCTCTCCAGGTATACAATGGCAATATGACTGTCCAGGTACTCACAGAGAGGAGCTGTTTATTGTTGGCATCGTGCTGGGAGCCCAGGTAGAGGAAGGGAAGAATCCGTGTAGGTCCCACGGTGGAGACAGGAAGGCAGGGCTGCGACTGACTGGTGAGAGGTGTACATTTCTTGCTGGAATCCTCACACAGCTCTGGAAACCTTGCCTGGAACTCCAGAAACCCTCCTGGCCACCACCACCCAGACCCCAAGGTCAAAGACCACAAGGATGGTAAAAAGTCCACATAACAAAGTGCAGTGGTCAAAGGAGTGTTGTTGACAGTACAAGGATGGTGCCAAGACCACAGGGATGGTGCCAAGGATGGTGCCAGAAGTTATGGTGTTCACAAATGTCGGGAAGATGTTCACAAGGTTGATGTCACGTTACCAGGAGAGAATCATCGCAGAAATGAAGCAGGAAAGAAAAACAATATGTAATTAATAACAATACTAAGTTATATTAATATTAAATACAACTGTACAAATGATGACTGGAATGTCATAAACACTTAATTAACATAATCCAAAAACCACATAGAGACAAATAAAACAAGAGAGGCCTGTATGTGCTTACGGCACTAGTATAGGCCTACCTTGCTAATACAGTGGGTTAGGTTTCAGTCTGCTGCCGAGAAGAGAAAACTGTATTGCCTTAACCCGTAAACGGTCCAAGCAGATCTACGTACACATATGTAGCGCTACAAAAGTAGATCAACTTTTTTTTTTTACATATTTTCAAATATAACAAAAAAAAAGTAAATCAAAGTTTTTTTACACATTTTCAAATGTAAAAAAACAAAAAGATCTACTTTTTTTTTCATACTTTCAAATGTTGAAAAAACGTATATATACGTTTGGACCGTTATGGGTTAATAATAACGTAATAATATTTTTCTACAGTGTACAGGTAATAAAATATTGTTAGGGACAAATGAAAGCCATTAACATGCGGTGCATTTCAAATGACATTGTGAATCACAGTTTTTTTCACTTGCCAGTGCATATAAAAGCCTAAAAAAATTTCACACTCATTTATTAAGTGTGCAATAACACTAGGCCTAAAAAAAATGATGCAAAAGTAACAAAAATCAATTAAAAAAATTTTAAATTGCCAAAACCCATCTTAAGAGCAAGGCAAGTACTGAAAATAATGAACGTGAATATACATATACAGTGGACCCCCGCTTAACGATCACCTCCAAATGCGACCAATTATGTAAGTGTATTTATGTAAGTGCGTTTGTATGTGTATGTTTGGGGGTCTGAAATGGACTAATCTACTTCACAATATTCCTTATGGGAAAAAATTCGGTCAGTACTGGCACCTGAACATACTACTGGAATGAAAAAAGTTCGTTAACCGGGGCGTCACTGTAGTACATGTAATTCTGAATGCAGTGTATTCGTGATCAGTGCTGTAAAGTGAAGCGCTGTATTAACGAGGCATGCCCGTACCTGTCATGAGAAATATAAAAATTTGTGTTGATGTAGTTGAGGGAGGAAAGCTTCAGTGGGCTTCTTTTCTGGGCCACAGTGTAAAACAGCTACATTACTATTATTATAATAGTGCTATACCTTCAAGGGTCAGTCAGCGCTGCATAAAGTAGGTAAATAGAGGAAACATTAAGATCAACATATTAGAATGTAATATAGGACTTTCACCTATATGGTTCCAACCTCTCAGACCTCGGAGGTTACAATATAACTTCCTCTCAATCTATTGCATTATTTAAATCTTGATAGATTTCTATTTCTCTTGATAGATTTTTTATTAATCTATTGCATTATTTCTCTCTTGAAAGATTTCGGATACAAAAAATTTTATTTCAACTTCCTTCAATTTCTTGTGTTATAATAACCAATTTTGGCGGAGATTGTGATTTTTTTTATATATACAATTGTTTAGGGGTCCCATAGCCTCAGAGAAGTGGACAAAAAGGCTTTGACGAAGAATATTTGGATTTCTTCCTGAAGGCATTTGAATATTCTCATATTAAATATGACTAGGAAATAAGTGGACCCGCATAAGGATTACACTCCGGAATGCGACCATTATGTAAGTGTATTTATGTAAAGAGCATTTGTACGTGTATGTTGGGGGGGGTCTGAAATGGTCTAATATACTTCAACAAATATTCCGTATGGGAAAAAAATCGGTCAGTACTGGACATGAACATACTTCTGGTTGTGATAAAAAAATAATAATCGTTAACCGGGGGTCCACTGTATATGACAAATTGAAAACAGCCTTTCCTGTGTTTTTAAATAGTGGTGATTATTGAATGTAAGACAAACTTTGTAGAGTACCAGCATAGTGGTGAATACCAGACCTTCCTGCCTCACTCACCAGTCAGCAGGTGTACTGGTGAATACCAGACCTTCCTGCCTCACTCACCAGTCAGCAGGTGTACTGGTGAATACCAGACCTTCCTGCCTCACTCACCAGTCAGCAGGTGTACTGGTGAATACCAGACCTTCCTGCCTCACTCACCAGTCAGCAGGTGTACTGGTGAATACCAGACCTTCCTGCCTCACTCACCAGTCAGCAGGTGTACTGGTGAATACCAGACCTTCCTGCCTCACTCACCAGTCAGCAGTGTACTGGTGTATACCAGACCCTTCCTGCTCATTCACAGTCAGCACGGTTCTGTACTGGGTGAATTACCAGATTTCCTGCCTCACTCACCAGTCGTCAGCTGGTGTTGTACTGGTGAATACCAGACCTTCTGCCTCACTCACCATGTCCGCTGATGTTACTGGTGATTACCAGACCTTCCTGCCTCATCACAGTTTCAGAGGTGTCTGGTGAAATCCAGACCCTTCCTGCCTCACTCACCAGTCAGTAGGTGTACTGGTGAATACCAGACCTTCCTGCCTCACTCACCAGTCAGTAGGTGTTACTGGTGAATACCAGACCTTCCTGCCTCACTCACCAGTCAGTAGGTGTACTGGTGAATACCAGACCTTCCTGCCTCACTCACCAGTCAGTAGGTGTTACTGGTGAAATACCAGGACCTTCCTGCCTCATTCACAAGTCAGCAGTGTACTGGTGAATTCCAGACAATTCCTGCCTCACTCACCAGTCAGGCAGGTGTGTGTGTTACTGGTGAATACCAGTCCTTCCTGACCTCACTCACCGTCTACAGAGGTGTAACTGGTGAATACCAGACCTTCTCATGCTCCTCTCACCAGTCGAGCAGGTTGTACTGGTGAATACAAGACTCTTCTGCCTCACTCACCAGTCAGGGTGGTGTACTGGTTGAACCAGACCCCCTTTTTTTTCCTGCCTCATCTCACCAGTCAGCAGGTGTATGGTACTGGTGAAATACCAGTCCCTTCCTGCCTCCACTCACCAGTAGCAGGTGTACTGGTGAATACAGGCCTTCCTGCTCATTCACAAGTCAGCAGGTGTATGGGTGAATTACAAGACCTCCTGCATCATCACCAGTCAGCAGGTGTACTGGTGTATACCAGACCTTTCCTGCCTCACTCACCAGTCAGCAGGTGTTGTACTGGTGAATACAGACTTCCTGCTGCACTACAGTCAGCAGGTGTACTGGTGAATAACCAGACATTCTGGCCTCAACTCACCAGTCAGCAGGTGTACTGGTGAATACCAGACTTCCTCTGGCACTCACCTGTCAGCGGGTGTACTGTTGAATTACCAAGACCTTCCTGCATCACCCATCATTCAGTAGGTGTACTTGTGTGAATACCTAGACTTCCTGCCTCACTCACCAGTCAGTAGGTGTTACTGGTGAATACCAGACCTTCCTGCCTCACTCACCAGTCAGTAGGTTGTACTGGTGAATACCAGACCTTCCTGCCTCACTCACAGTCAGCAGGTTGTAATGGTGAATTCAGACCTTCCTTGCCTCACTCACCAGTCAGCAGGTGTTGTCAACTGCGTGAATACCAGACCTTCCTGCCTCACTCACACCAGTCAGCAGGTTGTATTGGTGAATAGCTGCCTTCCTGCCTCACTCATCAGTAAGCAGGTTGTACTGGTGATTACCAGCCTTTCCTGCCTATTTTCACAATGTCAGCAGGTGTACTGGTGAATACCAGACCTTCCTGCCTCGCTAACCAGTCAGCAACAGGTGTATGGTGAATACCAGTCCGTCCCTGCCTCATTCTCAGTCAGCTGGTAGTACTGATGATTCCGACCTTCCTGCCTCCACTCCCCCCCCCCCCCCCACCGTCAGAAAGATGTACTGGTGTATACCAGACCTTCCTGCCACTTCACTCACCAGTCAGAAGGTGTAATGAGTGATACCAGACCTTCTGCTTCACTCACCAGTCAGCAGGATGTACTGGTGGAATACCAGTCCTTCCTGCCCTCATCTCACAAGTCAGCAGGTGTACTGGTGTTACCAGAAATTCCTGCTTCACTCACCAGTTGCAGGTGGACTGGTGAATACCAGACATTCCTGCCCTCACTACCTCAGCAGCACATACTGGTGATACCAGGACCTTCCTGCCTCACTCACAGTCAGCAGGTGTTATGTTGTGGAATAAAAACCCTCTATAACTCCACCCTACCTCACACTCACAGCCAGCAGGTAGACACAGGGAAAAGGCACGTCACAGTTTTTAAGAAGGACGTGTATGAAGGAAATACTGGGTATTGGGGAGGAGGAAGCGGTGGCAGCATTTGGTTCATACATAGACAATAATGTGGAGTCCCTCGTGTAGTTCACACACCTGGCACGCCTGCTGTAGGTAGTCGTGCACTGAGATCTGTAGAAGCACAACAAGAACTCTCACAATTTTGTCAAAAAAAATTTGGATTCGTGAGTTAGGATTTACGTAATGCACTGTAAACAGCACATGAGATATATGTCTATCCTTACTTAGGGTAATTTAGTCTACCTTAACCTGACCTAACCTAGTTTAACTTAGCAAAACTTAAAGTACCATAACTTGACCTAGCCTAACCTGACATAACCCAACTTAGGTTAATTTAGCCTGACTTAATCTAACTTAAACTACCAACCTAACCTAACTTAACCTAAACTGACCTGATCTCTGACCTGACCTGACCTGACCTGACCTAGCATTACTGTGGCAATTTTTTACTGTGTAGAGCTTTGCCAAGACATGATAAAGCTCTACACAGACCAAAATGTTGTCCCCTCAAAACTGTTTTTTTTTTAGTACACTATTCTATACCCATGACACAGATATAGAATAGTGTACGTTCAACCTGAGGTCAGACTTCCTTGATGAACCTGGCTGTTTTGTGACACACATGGTATTGTACCATGATATATTATTCAGTCTCTCTCTCTCTCTCTCTCTCTCTCTCAGTCTCTCTCTCTCTCTCTCTCTCTCTCTCTCTCTCTCTCTCTCTCTCTCTCTCTCTCTCTCTCTCTCTCTCTCTCTCTCTCTCTGTCTCTCTCTCTCTCTCTCTCAGTCTCTCTCTCTCTCTCTCTCAGTCTCTCTCTCTCTCTCTCTCAGTCTCTCTCTCTTCTCTCTCTCAGTCTCTCTCTCTCTCTCTCTCTCTCTCTCTCTCTCTCTCTCTCAGTCTCTCTCTCTCTCTCTCAGTCTCTTTCTCTCTCTCTCAGGCTCTCTCTCTCTCTCTCTCTCTCTCTCTCTCTCTCTCTCTCTCTCTCTCTCTCTCTCTCTCTCTCTCTCAGTCTCTCTCTCTCTCTCTCTCTCTCTCTCTCTCACACACACACACACAAAAGCAAAGTCTCTAAACTTAAGATAAAGCGAATACCTTCTTTAATGACAACATTTCGCCCAAGAAGGGTCTTAACGACGCCCCAGTGTGAGTAAAACAGGGTGCTCCACGAGGTTATCCACTCACCTAACGCTGAATATTTTCCTGTCTAACACACATTCAAGAGGACTGATTTGGCTTCCTTCCATCACCTTTGTATTTCTGTCTACATTAAATTCCATCATTCATCTATCCCTTCAGATGCTCAATTTATTCCAACCATCCTGGAGTTATTTACTGAGTATTTTTTCCATGGGTTTAGTATCAGGTTTGTTGTAGCTTTGTATTAATGCTACCAAGTCATTTATAGTGGGCCAGAATACCACTCATGGCCATCAACTTACAGAATCTTGTTGGAGTCGTTTCTTCCTAATCTTAGAGGACCAGACATTGATAGAATTAAGGATGTGTGATGTGTTGAACTCACAAAACGTCCGACTGTCTATAATCAGTGCCTGTGGGGATAAAAAATACCATATTTTTATTGTTAGCCCTAAAGGATTTAAGGTATTATCACTTTATATACACATAATATACACCGAGTGATTAATGGAGGGTTAAAAGACATAGAAAATTAAACACATAAGCAGTATAATGTGTTCCTTTATTAACAATGTTTTGCCCACACAGTGGACTTTATCAAGTCACAAACAGAAACGTTGTCAATAAAGGATCACATTAACTTCTTATGTGTTTATTTTTCCACTGTGTTGGTATTTTATACCATTTATTTCCAAAAGACTATAGACTATACGAGGGGTTATTAAGGCTGCTTGTAACCTTTACACCACCAGACATGAATATTTTAATATTTAAAGTGGGGATTCAAGTATAAACATAGCATACTAGCATATAAACTGAGAGAAATACACATCTCGATGTATATATCCTGTTGTATTTACACCAAAAGATACGCTAAATCTAAGTATAAATTCACAGATATGCACTTCTGAGTGTATATACACTGATATACACCTCTTGCTCTATACACATGAATATCCACACCTGTATATACACATACCATGTATATACAAGTATAAGTGCATTTGATTATTCAAGACTTGGCTATGAAATAAAATTTCTCAGCATCGTTAAAAGAAAATAACATAAGAAAGGAGCACTACAGCAGGCCTACTGGCCTATGTTAGGCAGGTCCAACTCTCACCCTCCCCCTACAACCATTATACGTATTACCACCACAATACATATACATAAGAACACAAGAAAGAATTAGCAATGCTGCAGGCCTACTGGCCCAAACCGGTCAGGTTCAACTCATACCCACTCATGTATTTGTCTAACCTACTTTTACACTTATACAACGTTTTAACTTCAATGACAGTGCTTAGGAGTTTGTTCCACTCATCCACAACTCTACTGCCAAACCAGTGCTTTCCTATATCCTTTCTAAACCCAAATTTTTAGAACGTAAACCCACTGTTACGAGTTCTGTCTTGATAAGACACATGTGCAACTGTTAGGTATCTTTGTTTTTACGTAAATGTTACACATACGACTTACTTATCGACCTGTCGGTATTGTACACCATTTCTGGGATAAATAATTTTGAAAACAGACAAGTTGAAGATTGAGACATTTATGCAACATATGGGAATCTTTACTGAAGAAATGTTTCACCACACAGTGGCTTCATCAGTCCAATACAAAGCAGAAAGGTAGGAGAGGAGGAGTTTGAGGTAATCAGTCCCTCAGCCTGGAATCGATGTGTTCAATCCATCAGTCCTGTAGAAAGTACAACATAGGGCCAGAAAAGTGGCTTATATACTGTAGTCAGGTGAGTCAAAGCAGGAGGAGTCTTGTCAAGGCCTCAGTCAGGTGACCATAAGCTCCAGCTGTGGGTCATCATATAAGACCCGCTTCAGGAAACACTTGTCCTGTTTCCTGACAAACCTAACCTTGGTTAGATACTCTTAGCACTTCGTTACATAACCTGGCAAAACATAATAAAAAATCTCACCTTGTCACTTTTAACTAGACGTGAAAGTTTGTGGGGAGTTACTACACGGATGGACTCCATGGCTCCTCTCTCGTTCTCTGCTGCTACTGCTACTGCTGCTGCTGCTTCTCCTGCTGCTGCTCCTTCTACAGCCTCCAGGGGCCGTCAGCTCCCCCGTCCCTCGCACTCAGTACTGTCCGACACCACCTGTCACACACACATAATTATTATTATTATAATCAAGGGGAAAGCGCTAAACCCGTAGGATTATACAGCACCTGTGGGGGGATGTGGAAGGTATTCAGGCTTAATTCAGGGAACTGGAGCACAGATCCAGTTCCCTAGATCAAGAACCCTTCACTAGTGTCAAGGAACCTTCTTTGAGGGGACACGTACATAAAAATGGAGGAACACTGCAGAAGGCCTACTGGCCCATACAAGGCAGTGTCTAAAAACTGGGTGAGGGACGTGCTGTAGACAAGCATGAAGACAGGTAGACAATGGAGGGAATAACATACAGATAGAAACATGCAAACATGATGGAAGATCTGCATATTTCGACCTCTGAGTGAGGTCCTCTTCAGAGGATCAGCAGATGGAGCTAGAAATATACAGAACTTCTCTCATTACTTTCTTTTTATATGTTTTTTCCCTATTTGAATTGACAAATATTTATGGTATTTCACGGAGACAGACACACACACACACACACACACACACACACACACACACACACACATACACACACACACACACACACACACACACACACACACACACACACACACACACACACACACACACACACAGAGATTGGACACAGTAACAAGGGGACACAGTTGGAAGCTAAAGACACAGATGAATCACAGGGATGTTAGGAAGTATTTCTTCAGCCACAGAGTAGTCAGTAAGTGGAATAGTTTGGGAAGCGATGTAGTGGAGGCAGGATCCATACATAGCTTTAAGCAGAGGTATGATAAAGCTCACGGCTCAGGGAGAGTGACCTAGTAGCGATCAGTGAAGAGGCGGGGCCAGGAGCTCGGACTCGACCCCCGCAACCTCAACTAGGTGAGTACAACTAGGTGAGTACACACAAAACAAGGGCCAAGTATCTATCGGCAAGTACCTCTGACAAATACAGAACAACATTTCGCAACCAGGAGAACGTTTACTAAAATTCCAAGTCTTCAGAAAGCTGTCCTTTGAGCGAAACAATGTGACGAAACGTCGTGATAGATGAACGTTTCCTTTCAGAATGTGTATAAACCGTGAACCACTAACATATGACACCTGAATCTGTCAAATTCAAGAAATTTAATGTTATATTCACGGGGGAGTCGCTAAACCTGTAAGGGAGTCATACAGAGCCTCGGGATGGGGGGGGGGGAATGGGAGGGAATAGTTTGTCTATAGCTGGGTTGGTAGCGCACTCACCTCACATGGTGAAGTCTGTGGTTCGATCCGAAGTACGGGTGGTAACATTAGGACGTGCTTCCTTAAAATTCTTGCTGTCACTGTTTACCTAGCAGTAAGTAGGTACCTGGGTGTTAGTCACCTTACACCTGCTGTCATTGTTTACCTTGCAGTAAGTAGGTACCTGGGTGTTAGTCACCTTACACCTGCTGTCATTGTTCACCTAGCAGTAAGTAGGTACCTGGGTGTTAGTCACCTTACACCTGCTGTCATTGTTCACCTAGCAGTAAGTAGGTACCTGGGTGTTAGTCACCTTACACCTGCTGTCACTGTTTACCTTGCAGTAAGTAGGTACCTGGGTGTTAGTTACCTTACACCTGCTGTCACTGTTCACATAGCATTAAGTAGGTACCTGGGTGTTAGTTACCTTACACCTGCTGTCACTGTTCACCTAGCAGTAAGTAGGTACCTGGGTGTTAGTCACCTTACACCTGTTGTCACTGTTTACCTTGCAGTAAGTAGGTACCTGGGTGTTAGTCACCTTACACCTGCTGTCATTGTTCACCTAGCAGTAAGTAGGTACCTGGGTGTTAGTCACCTTACACCTGCTGTCATTGTTCACCTAGCAGTAAGTAGGTACCTGGGTGTAAGTTACCTTACACCTGCTGTCACTGTTCACCTAGCAGTAAGTAGGTACCTGGGTGTTACTCGACTGGTGTGGGTCGCATCCTGGGGACAAAATTAACCTAAGCTTCAGGAAATGCTCTATATAACCAGGGACTTTCTATATAGTATGTCACTGACGTCAGCTATGTATGTATACCTTATACGTACTTTATTAAATCCCACCTGAGTAATATCAAAGGTAACAGCCAGGTTGATCAGGCTCTGATCCACCAGGAGGCCTGGTCACAGACCGGGCCGCGGGGCCGTTGATCCCCGGAACTCTCTCCAGGTCTCCAGGTAAGAAGGGCGGAGAAATCTACGGTAAGCTGCCGCCAGACTTCACTACTCTCTCGCTGGACAAGTCCACACGTATACCTGGAGGGCATACCTGGAGAGTACACTTGGGAGGGTATACCTGGAGAGTACACTTGGGATGGTATACCTGGAGTACACTTGGGAGTGTATACCTGGAGTACACTTGGGAAGGTATACTTGGGGAGTACACTTGGAAGGGTATATCTGGAGAGTACACTTGGGAGGGTATACCTGGAGAGTACACTTGGGATGGTATACCTGAAGTACACTTGGGAGTGTATACCTGGAGTACACCTGGGAGGGTATACTTGGGGAGTACACTTGGAAGGGTATATCTGGAGAGTATACTTGGGAGGGTATACCTGGAGAGTACACTTGGGAGGGTATACCTGGAGTACACTTGGGAGTGTATACCTGGAGTACACTTGGGAAGGTATACTTGGGGAGTACACTTGGAAGGGTATATCTGGAGAGTACACTTGGGAGGGTATACCTGGAGAGTACACTTGGGAGGGTATACCTGGAGAGTACACTTGAGAGGGTATACCTGGAGAGTACACTTGGGAGGGTATACTTGGAGAGTACACTTGGGAGGGTATACTTGGAGAGTACACTTGGGAGGGTTTACTTGGAGAGTACACTTGGGAGGGTATACTTGGGAGGGTATACCTGGAGAGTGCACTTGGGAGGGTATACTTGGAGAGTACACTTGGGAGGGTATACTTGGAGAGTGCACTTGGGAGGGTATACCTGGAGAGTACACTTGGGAGGGTATGCCTGGAGTACACTTGGGAGGGTATACCTGGAGAGTACACTTGGGAGGGTATACCTGGAGAGTACACTTGGGAGGGTATACCTGGAGAGTACACTTGGGAGGGTATACCTGGAGAGTACACTTGAGAGGGTATACTTGGAGAGTACACTTGGGAGGGTATACCTGGAGAGTACACTTGGGAGGGTATACCTGGAGAGTACACTTGAGAGGGTATACTTGGAGAGTGCACTTGGAAGGGTATATCTGGAGAGTACACTTGGGAGGGTATACCTGGAGAGTACACTTGGGAGGGTATACCTGGAGAGTACACTTGAGAGGGTATACCTGGAGAGTACACTTGGGAGGGTATACCTGGAGAGTACACTTGGGAGGGTATACCTGGAGTACACTTGGGAGGGTATACCTGGAGAGTGCACTTGGGAGGGTATACTTGGAGAGTGCACTTGGGAGGGTATACCTGGAGAGTACACTTGGGAGGGTATACCTGGAGAGTACACTTGGGAGGGTATACTTGGAGATTACACTTGGGAGGGTATACCTGGAGAGTACACTTGAGAGGGTATACTTGGAGAGTACACTTGGGAGGGTATACCTGGAGAGTACACTTGGGAGGGTATACTTGGAGAGTACACTTGGGAGGGTATACTTGGAGAGTACACTTGGGAGGGTATACTTGGAGAGTACACTTGGGAGGGTATACTTGGAGAGTACACTTGGGAGGGTATACCTGGAGTACACTTGAGAGGGTATACTTGGAGAGTACACTTGGGAGGGTATACTTGGAGAGTACACTTGGGAGGGTATACTTGGAGAGTACACTTGGGAGGGTATACTTGGAAGGGTATACCTGGAAAGTACACTTGGGAGGGTATACCTGGAGTACACTTGGGAGGGTATACCTGGAGAGTACACTTGGGAGGGTATACCTGGAGAGTACACTTGGGAGGGTATACCTGGAGTACACTTGAGAGGGTATACTTGGAGAGTACACTTGGGAGGGTATACTTGGAGAGTACACTTGGGAGGGTATACTTGGAGAGTACACTTGGGAGGGTATACTTGGAAGGGTATACCTGGAAAGTACACTTGGGAGGGTATACCTGGAGTACACTTGGGAGGGTATACCTGGAGAGTACACTTGGGAGGGTATACCTGGAGAGTACACTTGGGAGGGTATACTTGGGAGGGTATACTTGGAGAGTGCACTTGGGAGAGTATACTTGGAGAGTACACTTGGGAGGGTATACCTGGAGAGTGCACTTGGGAGGGTATACTTGGAGAGGGCACTTGGGAGGGTATAACTGGAGAGTGCACTTGGGAGGGTATACCTGGAGAGTGCACTTGGGAGGGTATACTTGGGGAGTGCACTTGGGAGGGTATACCTGGAGAGTACACTTGGAAGGGTATACCTGGAGTACACTTGGGAGGATATACCTGGAGAGTACACTTGGGAGGGTATACCTGGAGAGTACACTTGGAAGGGTATACTTGGAGAGTACACTTGGGAGGGTATACCTGGAGAGTACACTTGGGAGGGTATACCTGGAGAGTGCACTTGGGAGGGTATACCTGGAGTACACTTGGGAGGGTATACTTGGAGAGTACACTTGGGAGGGTATACCTGGAGAGTGCACTTGGGAGGGTATACCTGGAGAGTACACTTGGGAGGGTATACCTGGAGAGTACACTTGGGAGGGTATACCTGGAGAGTACACTTGGGAGGGTATACCTGGAGAGTACACTTGGGAGGGTATACCTGGAGAGTACACTTGGGAGGGTATACTTGGAGAGTACACTTGGGAGGGTATACTTGGAGAGTACACTTGGGAGGGTTTACTTGGAGAGTACACTTGGGAGGGTATACCTGGAGAGTGCACTTGGGAGGGTATACTTGGAGAGTACACTTGGGAGGGTATACTTGGAGAGTGCACTTGGGAGGGTATACCTGGAGAGTACACTTGGGAGGGTATGCCTGGAGTACACTTGGGAGGGTATACCTGGAGAGTACACTTGGGAGGGTATACCTGGAGAGTACACT